ACACTCCCTATCACGCCGCCACAAAACCTCTCGTCCTCGACTCCAACCTTTTGTGGAGGAACAAATCCTCCGCCCCTCAACTCCTGTCCCCAACATCACCGCCCCCATCTTGATCAGTGATCCCCAGCCTGTGCTGCTACAACCCACAACCTATGACCCAACAGCAAGGAGGAATGCCAGTCGAGATCCGGATGAAGGCATTTCTCCCGTGCAGCGCAACATAGAGCAGGAAGAAGCCCACCGTCTTCTGGCTGAAGATGCTGTCGCGAGAGTGAGCGCCTTGCAAAAGGCCAAGGCCGCTGTCCTGTCCAAGCTGAGCCGCGAATTCTGCAATAGCAAGAAACCCCGCGTCGGTGAAGCTAACGCATGTCGCTTTCTGGCAGGCCGGGATATTGGTACGGCATTTGGCCCCAGCATGGTCATGGAGGATCGAAGAGCACTGGAGAGTCGGAGCGTATTAGTACCCTTGATGTTCAGTCGCTCATGAACTGAACGCAGTACGAGAAACATGAATGAAATGATGGCGGGCTCCGGGAAATAGTGGGAACACTCTTGTAATAACGATACCATGTCCTTCGTTTCTTGATGTATTTACTATCAGTATTTCTTTCCACTGACAACGAATATTATGCTTTGTTATGAACAATGCCTTCGTTGCCTCTCATAATGTGCTTGCTTAATTATGAAGTTTCCTTCCTTATTGTCTCCATTGCCTTAATATACTCTGAGACTTCTTTCAGGCCCGTGAGCGTCAAGTCTCTCCTTCGCCCTTCAATGACTACAGTCGGCACGGCATCGATGTCCATACCTGTACTTCTGATCTTTTCTTTGGTATCCCTTTCACCCCTGGACTTGTCTTCCACCAAGCTCTTTGCCATTTCCTCATCTATACCAGCCTCAACACATGCCTCAATCAACATATCGTCAGCACCGGGATGTCTGCCTTCCGCAAAATACAATCTAAACACCGCGTCCACGAGCTTGTTCGCTACTTCAGCTCCCTTGGACTCCTGAACTTGTTGAATGACCCGATGTCCAGGAAATGAGTTACCAGTTGGTCCCGTAAAAGCTATGGGAAGTTCCAGTGGTTGCGCAAGTGAGAGCATATGCTCTTCGAAGATTTTCTGGGCCTCTTGATTGTCATTATGCTTCTTATGTAGGGCATATGCAGCTCGGTCCGTGATGGTTTCAGGGCGGTCTGGATTAGGCTGATAAGATGCGAAATGAAGCTTGAAGGAGATGGAGGATGAAGAATTCGAGGAGCGGAATTGAGACAGAGCCTCATCAAGTCTGTAGTCAAAGCGTCAGACGGTCATTAAAGTCAAGGTGAGCCAATAAAGATGGGAGATATTACCTCCTCTTTCCAAGATATGTCCTGAGATGTATTAGCCATGACTCTGCTTCTCTTCAACAAGCTAGGTAAGGTATCATACCAAGGACAAATCGTGTCCATGACGAAAGTGATTTGAGACTGGTACATAATGAAATGCGATAGGAGACGAATAATTATGGCATCTCTTGTATATGGCACCCATTGAATGACTGAGATCGATGCTGGAATATAAATGCGGGGAAATTGCACCAAGCCTCCAGATCTATAACGGAACGGAACGACTAATTCGAAAGAGTCTCCACGCGTAAGGATAATTCTCATGGTAGTGGAGGTTTCACTTATGATGTATACAACTTTTCACATTGAACATAAGGAACCATTGGAACTAAAAATGGGTATCTCGGAACATGGAATGTATATCGCTGTACTTAGTCAAACGTCATCTTGGTACCCGTATGCTTCACAACCGCGCCCGTCAGTCTCGCAACAGATATATCCTCAGCCTCCTTGAGCGGCTTCGCAGCCTCCCCATGAGTATCATGACTCTTCCGCACTGCGCCATTCGTTTGATCATACTTGCGCGGCGGAGGTCGACCTCGTGGGTTACTGTCCTTGTCGGGAAGTGCCTTACGATCCTTGCCGAACCGCTTCTTGTACCGTACTTGATCATCCTCGGCCAACTCCACCTTGAGCTCGCGACCCAGCATTCGGTTTACCCACCACTTGCGTGTCTTGAACTGCTTTTGCTGTGACTTGTCCTTCTCTTCATCGTCCTTGAAATCGTCCTCTGTGTCGACTGCCTCTTTAATTTTGACAAAACCTTTGACGGCCCATGCAGCAGCAGTAGGGTCCTGGAACTTGACCCAACCAAAGCCCTTGCACTTCCCAGTATCCTCGAAGGTCGCAACCTTGGCCCATTCGATCTCGCCGCACTTCTCAAAGTTTCTGTATAGATCGTCCTCGGTTGTTTTGAAGCTCATGTTGCCCACAAAAATCTTGCGACTGGCATTGACATCTTGCTTTTGCTCCTTGCTGGTCTTTCCCTCATTGGTATTCTCTTCTGTGGATTCAGCCTCCTTTTTGGGCCGACCCTCAAACGATGTCGCATCCTTGATGAGAAGTTTTCGACCACCAAGGTCACTCTCAGTCAGAGAGATAGCGGAGACTTTGGGACCGAGTTCTGTAAAATCGACGTAGGCAAACCCCTTGTTTGCTGGCTTGACACTCTTATCCCGGCCAGGTTCCTTGTTGGTTGGTAGCTTGACCCGAGTGATCATCTCTTCAGTGATGACGCCTCCGGAGTTATCGACGAGCCACTTGCGAAGTTCTGTAGCCGTGACATGAAATGGCATGTTGCCGATCCAGACACTGTGCTCTGACCGAGCGACTTTCTTATCCTTGCCATCTTTATCGCCCTTTTTCTCGTCATCGCTATCCTGTTTCGAGGGCAATGACTTCCCCTTTTTGAGGGCACGCTTTGCACGCTTAGACGGGGGCTCGGGTGCGTCTACGTCGACTTCGATTTCTTCGAGTTCGATCTTGCGCTTGGAAGAAGATACGGCGGCTTCAGACTCTGCCATCTCGGCAACTTCTGTCGATTCGACCTTCTCATTTTCGATAGTCTTCTCGGAGCTCTCGGTCTTCAATTCCGACTTGGAAGCTTTGGGCTTCTTCTCTTTCTTTTCCTTTGTCGCCATTGTGGTGATGATGGTTGATAGACGTGTCTAAGGATAAAGTCGCCAGAAATTTTCTGCCTGTTCTAATGCGATAAGAGATAAGAAACTCGGAGATGTGGGTCCGCCGCCGGACCCTTGAAGATGATTTCCTCCGCCGATAGTGGGCCTGTCAAGTACCGATTATATGCGTTGTCCGTTGTCCGTTGTCCGCCGCGTTGAAGAAAACCAGCCCCTGGAATTAGGGAGAAGCCTACAGATTGTTCAACAAGGAGAAAGACTTTATTAGTGAGATTTTGCTGAGCACTGACTAGGGAATATTAACTTCTCAGCGTTATGTCAACCCCAAGCACCGTACGGTAAGCTCAATCAACCTCTGGAAAAGGGATGAGAAGGACATACAATGGCAGCTATTGAACTGTGCTGAAACGTGATACTGGCAGTGAGATGAATAGTAGCCTTACTGGGGGTTGACAATTTCCGGGTATCGATGCTTGTGGATAGGCGCAGTGTCGTTTGGTGCTACAAAGGCAGCGAATGTTCCAGGCTGATGCCATTACAGAGGATCTATAGTTTGCTAACTTGGCTGGAGATAAGAACTTATAAGGGGAAGTGATTGAGGCTGGTGTTAGATACGATTTTGCTATCAAGTCGTATCTTGGCAAGCGAGACGAATAAACTGGTAATCATCAAATATCTCACCGCTTGACGGCACTAGTCATCCAATATACCTAGGTAGTAACAGGGGTTTCGCTGTCTCAGAAACATCCCAAACACCCAATGGCAGAAGTTATCAAGCAGAATTGTCAGTGAATCATCCATGGAACCGAGCTTACTATAGGCCCTGTATAGTTACCAGTACCTTAGGGACCATGCCAGCCCTGACTTTCATCCCTAATTGTTATCATTTATCTGCGGCCCAACCATAAGCTATCACACGACCAGCATGCCAGTCTATCGACATCGTTGATAAGAAGGTGATTAATCAGAATATTCGCACCTGTACATAGTAACTTGTTGTTCCGGGGCCTGAGAGCTACAGGCCCGAGGCCGTCGCCGGCCGAAGCCTGGTGGTGGCGGCCGAATTAGGGAAAGGACCCGTTCCGGCCCCGTCAAGACGGCCCGGGCTTAGTTAATCTTAACTTTGCCGTGGTATTGATTGGTGGGTATGCCATGAAGAGCCCCGGCGGATTCCTAATCCTATACCGCTTCTGACATATAAAACACTTGGAATGAGGCTTGAAGAAAATTTGCAAGAGTCATGACATAGAATTGTACTGTATACCCGGCCAGCGCGGTGAAGGAAAATTGAAACCAACCAACAGCCACTCGAGCCCATAAAGGTGCTAAATCAATACTGGGGACCATGAAGATGCCCCTCAACCGGTCCCTGTTCACGTGTGGCTACCAGGCCTGGGCGGCTTGCGACGGGGGCCTCAGGTGTGGCCAGAGCGAATGAGATGCCTCGTGACCCCCCTTCGACCTAGGCCCAGGTAAAATTCACTAGCCCCAGACAACGGACCAAAAACACTGGAACCTTGGAACTCTCCCTCATTCAAAGCCTGACCAACCCCAACTTCACCAGTCCCGTCCACCTCTTCATCCTCCTCCACCTTTTTAAAACCCTCTTCCACGCCATTCACCCTCCGCCACGATTCCTTTATTCCACTCGATATATCGTATCGCTCGGTATAGCAATTTTGCCAAGCAAACGCTTCCCTCATATATTCACAGTGCTTAACGCTGACTCCCGACCCATTTGTATTCACGCAACCGGCGATAGAAATTGGAACTTCGGTTCTTGACGTCCAGCACTACGAGACCACCGCTGGTGTCTTAACGGCCAACACACAAACCATCTTTGTCGGCAAACATATTCGTCACCGATTTTGGCTTATTCAGCTTGCACTGTCTTTGAGTGATTTATTCATTCATTGATTGTTGAAAAGGATCGTCCCCGAGTCCCATTGGATGCTTTTGGAACTTGCGACAACATGAACGTTCTGCTCTCGCCTCAGCCTCCTGTCTTCCCCCATCAACACGAAAACCCTCGTCTCTCCCCACAGCGATCCCGTAAGTGCTATCGTGCCTCGATCTTTCCCATTCGAGATGCAGATAACTCGCTCAACTCTTCCACCAAACTGCTCTTTGCCACTAACACACTCAGTGCCTCCCTTTCACAGTATGGCCTCTCGAAAGCGAAAAGCTGACGAGGATGGTGATGAAACCATGTCACCCAGGAGTTCCCCTACTATCTCTGCTCGGCCTCTAGCTCGACCATCGAAAAAAGTTCGATCCAACGAAGTCATCGGTCGGCCTCTTGCACTTCCACGACTTCTCGAGACTCTCGATACCTCTCAGCTAAGAACCGTTCTTGAGCGCATATGCGAAACTCATCCCGATATTGGTCATGAGGTTGTCTCACAAGCTCCTCGACCTTCAGTTACGTCTGCCTTGCAAGTTTTGCAAGGCTACGAGGCGAAGTTGAAGGATGCTATTCCATACGGCGAAACCAGCCCGGAATACACCTACTATCGGATCAAAGAGCCGCTGGTTGCTTTGATTGACGCACTATCAGACTTCACCCCTCAATTCCTCCCGCCAAATGAAACCCAGCCTACCAAATCACTTGAGTTCTTGGACGAGGCCACAAACATTATTCATAGACTTCCCAATTGGGAGCCGCAGACATACCGACACCATAAGGAAACTGCATATGAAGAAATATCGAAGGCATGGGCACTTGTTATCAACGAGGCTGGCAAGAGGGCTGGAGGACTCAACTTGCATACTGGAGGATGGGATCAAATTTTGTCTCGACACAATGAACAATCCGGTGATCGCCTTGCCTCAGCAATCAACGCCATGTCCACGAGCGTTGGATGGATAGGCGCCAACGCAAACCCAGGAGCTGGAGGGCCTTCTGACCCTAATTCTATTCTCAACCAGCTCATGTCTGGTACCTATGGAGCTCCCGTTAGAGTTGGGCCCTGGTAGGGACAGTTGTGACCTGGAGCTCTCCAAGATAATGATTGCATATCGCGGCGCACCGGACCAGGCATCTTCGCACATATTACGACCAAATCATCACGACGACTTTCATTTGGCAGCATTGGCAGCATAGACTTGAGGCACCCATTTCTTTGTTTCACGGCAGGGTGGTTGGCGTTTTGCGTGTGTTTTTTATATCCCTTTCCTTCACTTATGAACCAGTAGGGATAACTGTTATACGGTTTGGTTGATTTCCCAAGCAACCCCAACAGCGCAGACAGACTGCGTGTGCCTGTATGTAGTAATTTGATATATCTTGTTTGTTATCTTGATAGTCTTTGCAGAAGGCCTGCAGACAGTTCTCCATGAACCTCATTTAATCGTTCCTTGTGACGACCAATACTGTAAATGTGTCGATGAAACCTGTTAATATACCTGGGTGTAACCTTTTTCTACCAGCCAGATATGTCACCCTCACCAGGACCTATCGTCGATTGAATAGTATACTTCTTTCAGACCCGGCTCTATCCCGTCTATATCACTAAACGGAAAGGGAAAGACTGACAGCCGCAACTAGGTGACCTAAATGCATTGGATGAACGTTTATCGGATAAAAAAGTTGAAACTTTGTTATCCTCAAGTAGAAACATCTATACCTAAAAGGTCCAAGACGAACGCTACGTGATATGAACTCAATAGGTAAGCCCTCATGGGCATGCATATTCCAATTGCGTCTTGAGCTTCGTGAACTTATAACTCTCCTCTTTTAAGAAATGGCATTCCTCTATGGGATGTTCTCCCCGTCATGGAGATCCTTTTCTTGAGCCTGAAGTTGATGACCTCGGTATAAAATCTAACTTACTAAGTGACACATGCCTCAGGGAGCAAGAATTCTTCTGGCCTGAACTGAAGATACCAAAATGGTTCGCCATCTAATTCAAAAGCCGCTGATTACATACCGAATTTTCTTTTATCTACACGAAATTTACTGTAATCCTTTTGTCGTCATGTAGCATAGAGGCCTTGAGTTCTCTCGCCTCCCAAAACGAGGTATTGAATCCGTGATGGAGGTACGAATGTCTACTACCTACCTACCTTATGTAGGAACAAAAAGTTGTCCAAGTCATTTAATTTGAATAGTAGGTAGGTAGGTAGGTAGGTAGATTCAGAGACATGAGGGGCAATCATGGACCCTCGACAATCTGGTTACAGTTGTATAGCACTCGTGTACCTATTCCGTACCAGGTTAGTCCTGACGGGCTACCCTACCGATGATGGTGCCTCACGAGTGGTCTTGCCTAGGTACGCAGTGTCACGTGCTCTCCCGTCATTCAGAAGTGGAGGCGCGACTGCCTGGATTGATCGTTAACGCGCTCTTGCTCATTTATCAATATCAAGCCCGCCACTGCTGGCGAAGTTTTGCCTCAACTCTATCCTATCTCAATTTTGCTCTATTACTACAAATTCTTTCCCGAGTTCTTCATGTGCACATAAATTTTGTTCTGTGTTCAACCATTCACCATGCCTGCGTATGTCCCTAGACGTGTCGCGTTTAATGTTCTTGTCACTAACGGTTTCCCCAGCCCAGGCGATCAGCACACTACAGTGACGAATCCCTTTGAGGAGCCACGTATACGAGTCGCCGAATGGGCTGCCAAGGACATTGCAACTATCTCAGCGAAACTGGATAAACAACTTGGCCCTGAGTACATTTCTGCCCGTGCAGGTCCTGGTGGTACCAAAGTCCATTACTTAACTGCCGAGAAGTGCATCACCTTGGCGAATGAAGTATTTGGTTTTAACGGATGGTCGTCCTCCATTCAAAACATTCAGGTTGACTTCGCGGACGAAAATCCTCAAACACAGCGCGTCAGTATCGGTTTATCGGTCATAGTCCGAATTACACTACGCGATGGCACCTACCATGAGGATATTGGATACGGATCCATCGAGAACGCAAAAGGAAAGGCAATGGCTTTCGAAAAGGCTAAGAAGGAGGGCACCACCGACGGATTGAAACGCGCCTTGAGGAGCTTTGGTAACGTCTTGGGCAATTGCATATACGACAAAGACTACGTGAAACAAGTCACCAAAATGAAAGCCGAGCCTGTTAAAAAGTTTGATCAAGACAATCTCCACCGTCACGCCGACTACATCAAGCGTGATGTTGTAAGACATGAACCCGCCGCTGCCGCTACTTCTGCCGCGCCCGCTGCGCCTGTGGTTAAGATAGAGCCGGTGCCGCCACTCCCTGTTGCAGAGTCATTTGACGATTATCTTGGAGGTATCTTGTCCTCCGATGGATTTGAGGAAATCGAGGCTGAATATCTGTAGAGCTCGACGAGGCAGACTTCTGTGTTCCAGAAGATGGCCACCCGGACGAAATTATGCTTTCAACATCAATCCTGGGCCAGTCTGCAAATGAGAAACCCATCAACAGAACAGCAGCCCAACAAGTTCAGCAGCAAACTAGCAGGCCGAATTCTACTGGACCTTCGAATCGAGCACCGCAAACTCCGATACATGGACAGCAACGTCCAGCCCCCCCGAATGGTGCAGCCACACTTTCCAATCGCCCACAAGGTGGACCTTCGGGACGAACAACTCCAAATCAGATTGGCAACCCTCGTCCGCCACCCAATGGACCTCAAAACATGCCCGAAACCGTAGGGTTTTTCTCTGCAAAGGCCGTGAATCAACTACCGGAATCCACTCTGGAGGGTTCGAGTAATGCTCGTCTTGTTTTGCCACAGGGACAGCAGGCCTTCAACCCCAAGGCAGAAAGCCCATCTATTCGAAAAACCCCTGGCATCGACCACTCTTCATCCAAACCTGTTGCAAAGAATGGCCAACATGTTGCCCCGACTAATAGCCAAGCAGCAGTGGCACCTGCTACGCGCTCTAACACGAATAGCTTTACCCCGGTGCGACCTTCGATGCCCAGCTCCCAGAGCGCACGAGGAAATGTCATAAACCCTTCGCTCGATCAAACTCGTCGAATTGGCGCACCTTCCGGTCCAGGAAGTCCACTCGCAAATAGGGGCAGCTATCGACCCCCAGCAATGAAACGACCTCCTCCAGTGGATGGTAGAACTGCATTAGCCGACCTCCCTGCTAACGGAAATGGAGGGACAGCACCAACTGCGGCAAGCGGGTTGGATGCAAAGCGGCAGAAGACGGGGTAGGCCTTTAAGGTCGAAGTTTAGGTTCAGACAAGCAATGAATGGCATGATGGTAGGCGTAACGGTATTTCCAAGAGATGCTTTTGTTAGGAGCTCAGGTCTGGGATATTTTTTATGGAATCAAATAATGATCGGAATGCAACTTGGGCTCTAGAGTTAAACGTCAGATACCATTCCCTGTTTGTACAATACGATCTGACTTGGTGCTTTTCAAACAAGTGTAAATGTCGAGTTATGTCCTTGGCAATCAATAGAAGTTGCTGCTCTGTGGAATTTCTGGGACATGTCTCTAATCATCATTGGTGCGTTGTTATTTCATCTATCATCCTATTGTTACATGGCTAAGCCTACCTAGTTGGTGTACATGTGCTTCATCCCAAAGACATTCGAGATGCTCTATTTAGGGCGGAGAAAGTGTTTTATATGTATGCTTGCTGCTTTCAGTTCAGCTTAGCAAGCCCTGATTGAGCCTGTTTCACTGCATGTGGAAAACCAAGCTTGCCCGCCATTTCGATACACTGCTTGTACTTCTTGCGAGCCAAGTCATTGTTGCCCAACATGGCTGCGACATCGCCCCAGTTACACAAAGCAACAGCGCAAGCCTCGTCACATTCCTCTGTACGCTCATCGCCACTAACATCCTTTGCATGCTTATAAGCGTTCTTGGCCCAGTTCTGCGCAGCTTCTAAGCACTCTTTTCGAGTCGCGGGCATGGCAGGGTCATGCAGCTCCTTAATCATCTCGGAGGGCTCGCTGGTAGGTGGAACAAATATGGGGTGTTGGGCGAAGCTGGCAGCGAGGTTGTTCATAATGATGGGACGGTGGCAGGGCGCTTCGCAAAGACGAAGAGCTTGGAAGAAGAGAGGGATCGCGAGGTGGAACTGGTTCTTGCGCTCGTAGTCACGACCCAAAGATTCCATAGCGCCACCCATTTGTTCTGGGCTTAGCCAGTCACCCTCTCCAGGCTTGATACCCTCCTCCTTGCGGCGACGAAATTCTTTTAAAGCGGTTTCAACAGCCCAAATGAGGTGCTTCTGAGAGCTGTCAGGGTCGAGAACGTGTTCGTCTGCGTAAAGCTCTCCAAGTTTGATAGCAATCCCAACAGTCTTAGTAAGAAGACGTTGCCTCTTATGCCATAAGCTTTCGGGTACGAAGTCCTCGTCAGTCGCTTCTTGCTCATTGGGAGAAGCGGCATTGTTCACGTCATGGGTCGAAGAGGCCTCAGACGTCTCGGATGCAGGCTTGACAAGTCTGCCCTCATCGTTGACTTTGCCTTCCTTGACTGAGTGCTCCATGACCCGAATCCACCTGTTACAGTCGGCGAGGATGCCCTCGAGAACCTGCAAGCAGCCGTTGTAGTTTCCGATCTTCTGCAGCCAGTGTGAAGTCTGGATACGAATACCAAGAACTTCGTCAGAGTAGGGATCTAGGCCATGCTCTGCGCATTGATCCATGGCGCGCTTATAGTACTTGAGAGCGAGTTCGGAATCGGGACTGATGTTGGTATAGTATAGAGCTCGTCGTAGAGAGTTTGCGATGGGCTTTGGATATCGTGTAAATTGGTAGTGATAGAAGTAGTTGAAGTAAAGGTAGACGGTGTATGCGCCAATGACCGACACCACACCGAGGCTAATATCGTTAACACAAGGAAATGGCCAAAGGTATGTTCTGGAACTCACATGAAGATTCCTAGTGTTGTTGCACCAGGGCTCTGTCGGAACGCTGTCTTAATACCGGTAGGGCTCATGGCGACTACAAGACTACGCAGGCCAGCAGCAAGAGCACGAGCAGCGAATTGGCGAAATGTGATCTGTGGTGGTGTCGGTTGGCTTTTCTTGGGTAACTGGTTCTTCCTGGCTTCAAGATCTCCATCATGGCGATTATTTGACGAATTGCTTGTTTGGAATCGACGCTGGACCGACCGGAGGTCAACAACGGCGCAGAAGTTGACCGTGGCTGTTCGTGAACGTAATTGGACGGATAACAGGCCGGAAGCTGGATGCTGCCAGCATCTCCGGCGGAGGGGCCTCAGCGATGCAACTGCTGAAACCGACATGGTAAGCCGGTTGACGAGTCCCTCGGCGAGCGATGGCCGGGGGTTCTTTTTTGTATGGTTGTGGTTGTAATGACAAGCGTAGTTAGAGGTTGAAAAGCTGTAAGTGGATGCTAACATGGAGCTCATCATGAGGGCCTTGCGCACAGACCATTTCCCGGACGAATACTGGCCTGTGCGTTTCCAATCAAAGAGGTTCTTTAGTGGAGGGCAGATTCGGAATCCGCTAATAATACCTACCTAGAGCTGACTTGGCCGAGGCTTTTTGGGCTGGGCGGGAAAGCTCAGGGTCGTCTTTGGTTTTGGCGGGGGGAGGGGAGAGTTTGCATATGACGGAATCTGGACAAACGTCCCAGAACCATTCAAACTTGTTCCCTTGCTACTCAATCTTATACAATAATCACAACTGCAACCACAATAATGGCTGGAAAGTTTGAACCCAAGGTTCCTGTGAACCTCGACCCCCCAAAGGACGACATCATCTCTCGAGAAGAGCTCGCTAAAGCCAACGGTACGGCCCGCCCCTCATGAGGCTCAGTACGGGCATCATGTTGGCTTTGACTTGATCTTGTATCTGGGAGTTTTGGATTGGACGTTGCTAATCTGAAGAAAGGTGCGGATGGAAACAAGTGCTACGTAGCCATCAAGGTATGATCTCCCATAGCAAGCAACTTGCCGCATGATCCATCCGATGTGAGTGCGACTGATTGCGTCAAACACAGGGCAAGGTTTACGACGTTACCGGAAACAAGGCTTATCTTCCTGGAGCTTCCTACAATGGTAAATAATCGAATTACGTGTACTACAACACAGGATACCTAACTGTCACGACTAGTGTTTGCCGGTAAGGATGCCTCGAGAGCTCTCGGCAAGACCTCGACCAAGCCAGAGGATGCACGGCCAGAGTGGCAGGATTTGGATGAGAAGGAAAAAGGCGTATTGAATGACTGGATCACTTTCTTTTCAAAGCGGTACAACGTCGTTGGTGTTGTTGAAGGTGCCACGAACATGGACTGACTAGCCGAGTGCCCTCCGAGTACTCAAGTCAAGTTATAAAACCTCCATATTTATTCTAATCTGTTCTTTTGTGGATCACAAGCAGTGATTAGAATTCCCGACTCTCCGCCGTTATGGGCCTATGGAAGCTCGAAGGATCTAGGGATCTAAGATGCAGTATCTCGCTCAATGACTGGTCCTATACATTGGCCGACATGCTGAGAAACTATCTCAAGACCGATGACACAAACGACCACTTCTCTGGCTCAAGCCACAGTTTGCCCTTGTGTACTCAATCGAGGCAAACCTGATCTTAGGCAGTAGATCCTCCGCTTCAAGTCCACCCGTCCCAGCTTTCATGCGTCGTCAACTTAGTGCTCTCGCACAAGCAGCATTGCACAAAACGGGCCCGCAGCGGTTCTATCTTATCCTTACCAGTTCGACCCATCCTGCCGTCTGTGGCGCTGTTTGGGTCCGGTTTGTAGCCTGTCTCTGATCGGAGAAAAGTTAGAGTTAGCATCTACGCCTGACATCCCCGTTTCACACGAGTGTTAGTTTCTGGACAGACAGACTTGGAGACCGAAGCTTGAGCACTACGTGTCACATATGAGATCTTTGGTGACCAAAAAGAGGTTCATGCATACTTGATTCATACGTGTGCTGTGACTATAATTATCTCAGCGGTGATTTCTACTCATGTATACGAACTGTTTGACAAAAATAGAGGTAATGGCCTTTATGGTCACAGAAGGGGATGAACAAGATGAGGATCTTAGCCAACAGCAATAATAAGGCATTGATAACCCAAATTCATGACTACTTGAAAACCTCCAAACTTATCCGCCATGTCTTTGCAAAGACCGTTCCTGATCGTAGTTATGTTGTGTCTGAGATTCACTTGCCCGACAAGCGAGAGCACAGTTGTCGCAAGGAACGCATTGTCTCCATGACTTGCGAAGGACCTTGACTCCAAAACATTGATGATTGGGGTCGTTGCGAGCGAAGTGGCAGTATGACTTGAGGCGGAGGGTCGAGTGATTGCATGCAAAGAGAAACTCTTCCCAATCGCACATTTCTGTTGTTATGGCAATTGCCTTTGACTGGGGTGATCCTGATGTAATTGAGTTACTGAGGCGAGCTTCGATAAAGGGCAGTAAATTCTTACAAGAGCTTCCTAAATCGTAGTAAGGAGTCTGAGTTATGAAGTCCAACGTGTGAGTAAGTGATTAACAAACTAAAACCGTAGATGGTAGCGAACAAACTTAGTGATAACGACTGATCAGTGGCAAAGGATGCACGTTTTATAGTAAGAGAGCCGACGCCGGTTTCGAGGTTTGTTCATTGAAATATACTCTCTTATCGTTTCCCCAGTTCCTGGATCATCCAGCTGTCGGGCAAGAGACAAGGGTTCTAGTCTTCATCATCCAATCGACTTCCAAAGTATTTGAGGAATCGGCCTATGCAATGGACTATCTGCAGCCCAGGATGACATTAGCTGCACATTTTCCTTGCAGCGCTGAAAATAGCTGGCTGCATAGGACAAAAAGTGAGTATCCGAACAAGGGGCCAGTGAGGATTCGAGTCTTGTGCTACCCAGTGCGTCTCATGGGAGTTTTCTGGTGGAGTTTTCATCGTGTTTCTTCTGTTTCTTTTTTAATATTCAAATTGAACTGGATAGCTTCTTTGGCGATAGCGAGAATGCAGTATGAACGAGGAAGCATCGTAATCTAAACATCGAACGAGAGCATGAATGCCAACTCTCACTTGAGAGTCGTGGGGTCTTGGTTTCAAATTGACCGAGGGTTCAAGCTGAGATTGACGGGCAACCTAATAGCCACTGGCGCTGCCGTTGTCTTTGCCAACCCAACGGGTCTCGACATGAGCTGAAGTTTGGCCGATGATCCTCGCACAATATACATTCATCCTCCAACAGACTATTGCCGCCACTTACACTTGAGCCAGATTATGAATAGATATCTTGAATCCTTTTCGTTCAGCCACATTCGGCCTCGAGGGCTTTGATCCAGGATAAATAGTGGGATTTTCGGCAAGATGCAGATATTACCAAGGCTAATGAAGAACCGCATGAATGCATGTGGCCGAATCGAGCTGGGCCAAAAAGGAGTAGATGGGGGAAGAGACAACGGACCACATCGTCGAGTCACGAAGAATGGTGCGATCCCCAGGTAGATAAAGGAGTGAACTAGACGCTATTGGGTTTCTAGGGACTTTCCTAGAGGGGCATATGATTTTGATAGGCTCAGTATCCCATAATAATTCGAATACATCAACAATTGAGAATAATTGTCAAGGCTATCATGTGAAAAAGAGCTTAGCGCACTTGCAATATGGCGTTTTCCGTAGGTTGAATAGGTATGAGCAACAACATGCAGCTGAGAATCAATGCGGCGTGGAGCAACCGTAGCAGCTGAGCTTTTATGCTTTGATTTTTCTTGTGAGCCAGAATAGTCAGTCGTATAGTGTAGACCGTACGCTCTAATTATCGATAATGATACAAAATGACGGCAATAGTCGTGGCCGTGGGCGACCTGGTAAGTAGACAGATACTGGTCCGAAGCGCCGAATTGTGAAAAACACCGAATGTTCTTATACGGAGACGTTCTAACGTTAATCATATGCTGGTGACGTATGTAGACACAGTATGACCCGTTGCAAATTGAGCCGCATCGTTAATTGATGGTTCGCAAAAGCGCACTTTCAACCAAGTTTCGTCAGCGGGCGAACGCAGGTTGCCTCGCCGGATGCCTAGTATCTTGGGGGTTGAAAGAAGAATGCTGATTGGTTCAAATACATCGCAAAGCCTCAAAGTGAGGCGGTTTGGGGAAGACAGAGTCGCTCACATCTCACCCGGAATTGTACTTTGCCAAATACATACAATACCTACTTTATTTCATCACAGTGACTCTTCCCTCCTCTATTTCCCCCATCGTCCCCCCGCCATTTTCATCTTCTTTTTGCGCTTCTGCATCCATCCTCCTTTGCCTTTTGCCTTATTCTAAGCCAGCCCATAGATCTCAATGCCTGCCTACTAACCCATGGCTCATACTACTTTGGCAGTGACACCCTGACGCGAAGCACAACACAACCAGCACAACGCAACCAGCACAACACAACATAACATATAACTAAGGCAATCGACTATCACTGGTGTAGCTACCAAGTAGCTCGCTCAACCACTTGGGGATTTCTCTGGGTTCGACCTGTCTCCTTCTTCAGACTCGGTGCTGGCTTGACAAAGACCTCACGCTAGTATCTGTCATCAGTCGTCCGACCTGGATCCCTTGTTGGACCCTGGACTCAACGCTTGTTTGCGCTGGATAGCTATTGATCTCAACCCCATGTATGCTTTTTTGATTCCTTTGGTTCTTCTGGTTGCCGTGTCTCTCCTATGTGTCCTACCCAGTCCCATCGACAGTGTTGGGTCGAGACCCTTGCTGTCCCTTCCAAAGTCGAACAACCTTAGCCCTCCCGTCTATCAACTCGGGCAGAACATGATGTACTGCTATAAGACAACAACTAACTAGAGGACCTAGCCGCCCTTGAATCGCCGTGGCGTGTATTGTTCATCTACACGATCATTCCTGGGCTCCCAATTAGTGCCAGCAGCGGTCCTGGTCAGATACACTGTACGGCTCGAAATCGTCCATACTTAACGCATCCGTTCACTCTGATAGCTACATCAACACTCTGCCCGCAGAATGGACTCCTTTAGCCCTTCACAGGAACAACGAGGCGGCGCCAATGTATCCCCGCAGGCGGCTCAACAGCAGAGCTCAAACCTGGCTGCTCTGGGTCAGCAGAGACACCAGACCACGAGCCCTTTTTGGCAAAACTGGGCTGGAGATGATCCTTGGAACCCTCTTGCCTTCGGTGCGCCTAATGATGGCCAGACCCGTTCGCAACTTATTGGATCCGCCAACTTTCAAACTTCATATCAAGACTATCGGAGCAAACCACTTTTATCAGAATGCGATACCAACCCAGAGGATTCGGCTTACGGCAGCCGCTTGACTCATAGCATTGGAAACCCTTCTGCATATGGTGAAGATATGGACCCTGATGTCCAAAATTTGGAACCTCAAAATTCGGATGCCCAGCTTGTCAACAGAAACTTAGAAACTCTTCAACTGCAGTGTCAACCAGCCTCCAACAATGCTCACTTATATCAAGACCAATGGGTCAGACCTTACCCGCCCGCAAGCGTTGCAACGGCCCCGGTTGGTGGAGAACGACGTTGGATTTGCGGTGACTGCCAGAAACGATGCCGTACACGTTCCGAGCTAAGGTGAGCACATGGGTTTGGCCTCCATTGATCACCCCTTTGCTAATAGAATCTAGAAAACACGAATTGAAACATTCTCTTCCTTGGCACTGTGACGTTACAGGCTGCTCACGTGAGAAAGGCTTCACGTCCAAGAACGATCTCGACAGACATAAGAGAACTGTACATAGCGACCGCACTGTTTCTGGTCGTACTTTTGTGTGCAATATTGGCAATTGTGCGAAGAAAAGTAAAATCTGGCCAAGGGCAGACAACTTCCGGTCACATTTGCAGAGAATTCATGCAAAGACATACTCAGCCAATGACGATCTATCTGAATATGTGCATCGGTATGCCTTTTCTCCCCCTTCCTTTTTAGCATCATCCCTTGCCCTGGTACCCAGAAGCTAGCTAATAAACTACAGTCCAGTTCCGTCACAAGATCTCGAGGGCGTGGGTGGGAGTGCTATGGCATATCTCCAGGCACAGGAACAATTACCTGGTCTGGCGCATCCCTCAACAATCCTATCCTTCCGTGTGTCTTATGGTGAACGACGCGCTTCACAACCCCAGTCCGTTACCAGTAATACTCCTCGAGGACCACCCTCTTTAGCTTTTGATCGAGATGCATCAAGCCTTGCAACGGTACGAGAAGGTGATGAGAGCTTCGCTCACCCTGACATTGTCCATGGGCGCAGTGCTCTGCCACCGAATCAATGGCCGGCATCTGCTTCTGAGGAGGATGCCCCTGGTGACGATGTCACCGCTTCTGAAGCCGAACAGCCTGACGATGATGCATTAGAAACTATGGACGGCGTGCAGCAGGGTGAAGGAGCAACTGCAGATGTCTCTCATGACAATGGGGACCTAGGAAGCCAACAGGCTGATGTCAGAATGGTTGACGCTGACGAAGCCCAACGGACTCCTAAAGCAATTCCCCCACACGAGAAAGAAAGTGAAACACCGTCCGATCTGAGCCCAGAATCAGCATACGATGACCTTCTTGATAAAATACCAAAAGAACTTATCGCAAGCTATCTGAAGAAGAAGCGGTTCGCAGGCCTCGGAGAGGAGGCCTCAAAATTAGACACAGTGAGCAGCAAGAACCAAACACATCCTCACAAATGCCAGGAGTGTGACAAAGCATTTCCTCGTCTGTGCGAGCTGAAGTAAGTGTTGTCGTTCAACACGCTGAATACCTTGGCTAACATTTTCTATAGAAAGCACCAGAAGAGGCATTCAAAACCATACGGTTGCACTTTTGCCGATTGTAAAAAGACATTTGGAAGCAAGAACGATTGGAAGAGACACGAATCGATTCAGCATTATCAGCTTGAGACATGGATATGTGACTGCGCCAAGTCTGATTCTGCTGAGCCTTGTGGCAAGGTTTGCTACCGCCGCGAGAGCTTCCGGAACCATCTATCGAAGGAACATGAGATTACAGATACCAGTAAGCTCGAAGAAAAGGTTGAAGGTTGTCGAAAGGGTCGTCACTGCGATGCTCACTTTTGGTGCGGCTTCTGTCGGGAAACTGTTGAGATTAAAGAGACGGACAACACCTGGGCAAAACGTTGCGACCACATCGACGACCATTTTTCTGGCCGTCGTGTACCCAAGAGAGACATCAGGGAGTGGATACATGAGAAGGACCACAGTGTTGTCCCCTCGGCTCCCCAGATGGACGAGTCTGGATCCTCATCTGAATCATCCCCATGTGACCCGATATCTCCCCAGAGCACTGTTTCTACAGAAAACAGTGGTGAAGATCGCCGTGGTAGAAAGAAGGATATGTATATGTGGACATGTGTGAGTAGAGCTCCGGCCCAAATACCAATCGCAACTAGACTGACACACTCAAACAGTGTAATTGCGCTGTTGAAAACAGTTTCAGCAACAACACGTTGTGCTGCGAGTGCAACCAACGTTCGTGCAAGAACTGCACTTGGCACACAATTCCATCTACAAGCGACACTTAGCTTATTGTGTTCAGTGCGTCAATGTTATACTATAATCTACGGATATTCCCTTTTCTGTTATTGTTGATGCGAATGATATACCCCCGTCATGTGGCATGTTTGGTTATTTACAACTTATAAGATTCAGAAGGTCGTTTTTGCTTGGGAAACACCTGTATTCATAATAGAAACAATTCGATCTTAACTCCGCCTTCTGCAGCTTCCAACAAGGCTAGGATGTGCGGAAATAAAAGAGCATGTTGACTCATAGCAATGCTATAGGCCCGGCAGTGGCTAGGGCAATTGTAAGCTGCTGGGCAACTTTACTCCTGGTATATCACGAATTACTGGTGAGAGTCTGCTCCGGGATATTAAACGACCCCCGTAAGATCAACAAAGTCAAGAAGACAGGGGTATCGGCTAACTTCGAGTGCCGTCCACATCCTCGAATAGTGCCCTGGTGCATACGACGTATTTCCACTTTAGTTGACCACCGACTGGCATGGCGCGGACTATTGTCTCATTTCAAGCCACTTCAACAGGCGCCCCGGATAAGCTCCCGCGGCGTGATCCAGAGCAGCCATGAGGTCCATGTGGATGAGATGCTTCAAAGCCAAACCCGACCCACGAGTTGCATCGCCGGGCATCTATTCTATGTGTGTCACAGGCGCATAATGATCCATCGACGACAAAAGGAACTATTGGCATCGGAAGGGTCAGCCAATGCACCGCTGTGAGTTTCTGGTAGTTGCTCATTTCCCTAGGAGCCGCTTTGGGTAGTCTACATCACTTGTCATGTTACACAAGGGACCACTAACATGACCCTTGCTCTCCCAACAGGGGCATGGGGTTGAAGAAAGTACAACTGTACAACAGAGTAGATAGGCTATCTCGCAGGGGTTACCCACGGAAGATAAGATCTGCACCACAGTTGGGGAAGGGTCCGATCCTCCCGACGCTCGAGTGAGCCCAGACATACATCTCAACGACTGGTATCATCAAGTGTAATACAGGGGCCAAAGGTTTCTGCACCACCTTGACCATCCCATGAAGCAAGATGGCTATGAGAGGGGTATATCTCGATGGCTGTGGAATGAACAAGCCGAACGACTGAGAGCTTTGGGTGCCCTTAAACTGCCAGATTACTGGTGACAGGTGAGTTCACGCCTACAACGGCGGCTAATGGTTCCGCTTGACATCCAATCCTGACAAGTTGCATTTCCGGTACAGAGCTGACTCTGACTCAAACCAGGTTGTAAACTTGTAAAGAGGCTGAAGGGCTGGCTGTGTGCATTGAAGTTGACCTGAATCCACGCACTCGGTTCATCCAGTCAGATCAAGATATCGAGATCCCAGACGTAAGTTTACGTATTCGTACATATACATGACTCAAAATAGATGAATCCAACATCCAGCTCGCTTCAGCTGAAGTGTAATACTCGACATTCATTTGGCATACAATATTACAGGACAGTCCCATGGCTTATGTTGGGGGCTGCTAATTCTTCATCAATGTAACATCGCCCTGCAGACATCAATCTTTGACCTAGACGGCCCCCATGGTGCGTGCATGCGAAGGGAGGTGTATGTAGCTGATGGACTCAGCCCTGCTGCTGTATTGTGATGATTCATAATTGATATCTGTCATGAAGAACAATGCTGACCTGCTCCCCGAACCAATATGGACTTACACCAGTGCGTTGTCCCGAGTCCAGAGCTGGATGATAACCCAATTGTTTGATCAAATCGCTGTACTCTTCACATACATTTCCGGTGATAATTACAATGCTGCAGAGATTCTTCTCTCGAAGAAGCTACAAGCATGCTCTCTTACTCTCTCATGACATTGATAACATACATAGGCTAGTACCGAGTAGACGCTGAAGAAATGGGGACCTGGACAGGCATTCTCGAGATTCTGTTGTTGGACTCTTGCAAGTCTTGATAGTCTTGATTATCAGACTGGAGATTGGGTGTCATTGAGGATCGACATCGACAAGGGGTCTTTGTGCCGATAGAATGAGAGGTGAAAGCCAAACCCGTGCGATAAATCAGACTGGCCTGCCTCTGTCCTAATCAGTTGCACCGTATGGGCGTATATACGGTGCATGTACACCAAGGTGACGTTGGTGTCAGACGGGATGGTATGGGATGGCATGGCATGGGGCGGGAACCCACAAACAGTGGAGGGACAAGGGAGTGACAGCGAAGACCCAGGTCGGGCGAGGTAATGCTTGTAAGTCTGTTGGCTCTAGCAATCCACTAGCCTCCCTTATAGTACTCGCTATTGGTCAAGATCTAGGCGATGGCCGCCTACTGTTTTAAGGTGCTCATCTGTGGTAGACTTAGCCCACAAAGGTTTAGTGCTTGGGAGGCATTTCCTCCAGCTCCAGCTCCAGCTCCAGCTCGCTGTGGAGGACCTCAACTGTGAGTGATTTCGTTTCTTGGGGATAAGGAAGAGTTCTTCACTACTGCCATTTGAAGGAATGCTTCACACTCTCATCAAGGTCTCCAAATTGTCAGCATCTTCAACCCTGACTTAGTAGGTACTACAGGTAGACACACATGACACAGCACCTACTCGTCATGATATGGACGTTTCAAGGGTCATTCTTGGAAAATATTAGCCGCCACTAATCGCGATCCTAACCCGCTGACGCGGATTTTACTGGGTTTATTAAAATGCTACAGGCTCACTCTGACTTGGCGGCTATCCACGCTCGCGCAATGATGGCCCTTACTCGAGATAACCATCACCAAAAAGAGACGTCGACGTCTTGCATCAAACTGTCTTAGGCCAGCAGGCCAGCCATCAGCATCAGTTTGCCGGAGGATGCTCCGCTCATCCCTAGCCTACTCATTCTCGGGCACAGACACAGTTCCTGCTCTCTAGGCCTATCAACATTCAACGCCAGCAACGCATCGCCATCGCCATCGCCATCGCATCACCGTTGCGGCTGCAAGGAATGCCTGGACTCACTCACACTGGCACGTATCCATCCACATTGGTGCAGTACATACTGACATGGCGGCTGAACGGGCCTTACCGTCCTCTTGCGTGGCGTTAAGCTCACTCACCCCCGTGTGCCCTGGACTAACATTAGCGGCCATGGACTTGGCCGCCAATGACTGAAGACAATGTCAATACGACTTCTCTCAAAGATGCATACCCGCTTTCAATTCGACAGTGTCTGATAGTTGTTCGGATTCAAGTGCATATCGACCTGAGCAGAGCCTGGGGGATAAAATCCACCTCACCCAGCAGCTACAGCTCACAAAGTCATCAATCTCCCGTCTCGGCCACCAGATTGGAATTTGGGCATTGTTACTACCTACATCAAGGTACCCTTCGACCTGACGGCTCCGTCCCGGCTCACACACCATCTTCTCCCAAGGATGACAGGGCGAGGCCGCCAGGGCCAGGTCTGGAGTCCCATGCCGCTGCAGGTCGTCCTGAAGAGTAATAGATGGGATCAGCGCAGCGCTCCACTTCCACCGATGCCTCTTCAGGCTGAGGTACGTACTTGAGGCTCTGCTCGACCAACTCAGGGAGTGCCCAATGCCCGCGTCGGCGGGACTCTCCAGATAGGCTGGCGAGACCTTCTGGACATACAAATCTTGGGGTCTTTATAATCTATTAAGATGTCTGCCCTCGCCCTCCACCATGGCGACTCTTCTCTATTGTGGTCAACAGGTTCCAGCAATCCTTTTCTGGTCAACTCTTTATGACCTTCCTTTTTTTTTCCCCCAATCCCTACTTACACAAAGCCTCCCACTCACCCTGCCTAGTTCCCCAAGCTTGCACTACCGGTGACTTACACGTCCAACGTCTTGCGTTACCAAGTCGCACATTTTGCACTCTTGATATACATGCCCATTCGCCATTTCAGACCTAATGGTTCTTAACTTTGGCGCTAGAACTTGAACAGCTCAGTGGTTCTTCCTCCTCCAGGTTTTCTTTCGCTTTGAAAGCTCTGGCATACCGTGCTCTTGTTCTTCTTGTTTTCTTTCGCCGCAAAGAGCCTTACTTACAGTGCCTCTTTAACAAAAGGGGATCTGTTAACACCATGACTTTCCAATCACCCTATGAGAGGAACAACGGAGCTAGGTGTTTATCTGACACATGTTATTTCTCCTATTCCGGCCCTGACTCAATCAATCACGAAGACTTCACCTGCCAAATCGATCCCCTTCTTCAACATATGGCACCCTATCCCAGCCACGAGATCACCTACTATGGTGCCAACAGCATGCAGAGGTATCTGCAGGAGCCTCAGAGCAACTACTTCATCGCTGCGTCAAACATTGATATCCCAAGCACTCGATATGCCGGAATTTACCCCGATATGAGTTGTCCTGCTCATCAAAGTTCACAAGTTCGCCAGGGCTCTCCAATGTCCTACCAACCATCATCAGCTGCGAGTGGACCACAAAGTCCCAATTGGACAGACAATGATGCACATGTCAGCACTCTAGGTCCTTCTACGCCGTCCGATGTTGCAGTCTTGTCTCCGAACATCGTTGGTTCAGGCTCTCTGTCACCTAGTGTCTCTCTTTATGGGCTGTCAAGTGGTCCACCAGGATGTGTGAACCCGGCTGTCATTGAACCAAGTCAACCCTTTTCAGAAATCACAGAGGAGCAAGAGATCAATGCTTTCACCCTCGACATGAATACTGAGTTTGACGGCGCCACTCCCAATTCCATCTACCAAGGTGCCGGCTCGAGTTCTCCATCGAATTTCGACCCTTCACCTCCAGATTTATATCCTCAACCCGATACAAAGGCGACCTACCCTGATCCTGACGACACGGATCTGGACGTAAATCTGGAAAACGACGCTGAGACTATCCATGTCGACGACGGTGACGACCAATATAGACCCAACTGTAGAACCAAGCCACCTCGAAATGCCAAAGGTGGCAGTCGACGTAGCCGCGCCAGGCGACTAAGTTCCAGTACCAATGCTAGCAGAGGAAAGGTTACCAAATCACGGCCTGTTACCCACGGTACCCAAGCGCGGAAATTACTCTCCTCGTGCGAAAGCATATCGTGCATGCATTGCCAGAAAGTGTTCAACGACGACGTATCACTGCAGAAACACATCAATGCCATGCACACTCGCCCTTTCATCTGCGTCTTCCATTTTGCGGGCTGTAACCACGCTTTTGCAAACAAGAATGAATGGAAAAGGCATGTTTCCGCTCAGCATTTGAACCTACACTACTGGCTTTGTACAACTGGTGCCTGCGGATATCCTTCAACCCCACTGAAATGTGTTCTGGGCAACGCTACGCATTGCAGGGTCTTTAAAAGAAAAGACCTCTACACACAACACATACGCAGGATGCACGCACCTGAAGAGGTTGCCAAGGCTGACAAGAAAAACAAGACCTTCCCTCCTGACTGGTTAGCCCAGGAGAAGAAGCTACAGGAGGAAGCATTCCGACAGCGTTGCAAATTGCCAGACTACATGCATTGCCCAGCTAAGGGCTGCACAACAGTCTTCAATAACGGCCATAAGACTTGGGATGACCGAATGGAGCATGTCGCTGTTCACCTTGAGCGTGCCGCGAAGAACGAGGAGCCACATGTCGTTTTCGGGGGTACAAACGACAAGGCTCTCACGCAATGGGCTTCTCACCCCAACGTTCGTGTCATTGTGTCCACCAACGGACGCTGGGAGACATTTCAACCGCTGAAGGCGGCTAAGACAGAGTTATCAAGGCTAACCAGTGTTCATGGCGAGGGCCTGGATGAGGATGCAGAAGGTGAGGAATGCTAGAAGTCATACGATTGGCTTCATACAACCTGTGCATCATTTCTCTATCTTTGTAAGCTTTGCATTTCACAAACTGGTGTCGGAATGCGTTTTGATATATCTGCAAATTGGGGTCGTAATACTGAAGAGTCGCGAACAATGCATTGGGTATTTAAGGGGTTTTCTTGGCGTTTCTTCAATTATTATACCACTATCGTACCTATACAAGTTCCTAACTTTGATAGTTTCTGATAAGAATGGGTTGATGTTCTGTCTTGCACAGGTAATGGATACAAGGAGGGAATGAATGCGAGAATTTATAGTTTGATCTGGTCGTGCTTGGTTTGCACAACGACAGAGTTGCTGATATCAGAACATCTTCGTTTTTTGTTCAAGTTTCTCTCCACATCTTATCATCCAAACTGATCACTGAACCATTTGGGCTCCTTCGCACGAAGCGTGATGCATTGATCCAGGTTGCGTTGCTACACCACGTTGGGCACGGCGTTGTTGCCGACCTTTGCATGCAAGTGCGTATCCAGGCTCATGAGCTTTACGCCATTCAATGTATTCTTCATATTTTTGCTGCTGAATTGGGTCGGGGTTGGTTGGTTTGGGAACAGGGTGTGGGTGAGGTTGATAACAACTACTTCCCGGCGTTGGGTTGAAGAAAATCTGAGGCGCTGCAGAAGTGCCCATGAAGTGACCTGATGCGACAGGATACTGTTGTAGAAGAGGATTAAACATTGCTAGGCTCGGCGTATTACCGAACGTGGCAGGCGTTGGCAGGATTCCAAGTCCCAGACCAGGTAGCACTCCAGGGGTGAGGATATTTCGCACTGAAGGGCCACAAGCACCCCCTGGGGATCCATAATGGGCGGGCGGCGATATATTCGATGAGTAGTTGATCTCTTCTGAGTCCTGTTTGGTTGAATCGGCTGTACTTATCACTGGAACAGATGTACTCTCTGTACTGTTGGCACCAATGTCTGACTGTAGTGCGGGAACAGAAATGTCGTCCATGTTATGGGATGCAGTGCTGATGGTGTTTCCAACGATGTCTTCGCTTCCATTCTCAGTTTGACTTAACAATCTACTCTTCAAAATCTCGTCTTCTGAAAAACTGACAATTCCCAGAGTTTGAGGTGCTGCCGGGAAACTTCTTTTGAATGACAGGAATTCCCTTGCCCTAGGGTTCAACCCATGTGTGAGGACATCAGAATCAATTCGGATTCCGGAGTCATTAGATGAGTCATTATTTCTCCGTGGATCGCTATAAAGAGAGCCAATACCGGAATCAGAGCTTTTTTGTTTAGATTGGCTCGGCTGCTGGCTTGATTTTGGGCCCCAAGGACAACCATGGCTGATAAAAGGCCTATCTATATATCTCTTGCTTTTTTCAGTCTCATTTTTTGACCCTTTCTGAAGCTTTTGCAGAATTTTCATGAAAGCAGCTTTTCTGCGTTCGAGTTCTTCACTCTTTCTGGTTTGCTCAGCTGATGATGACGGGCCGCTGGGTACTTCCGGTTGAGATTTTCCATGTGTGCTGCCGATGTTGGCAACAGCTGTGTCCTTCAGTACAGCTTGCCTGGCCTTTTTAGTCCTTTCTTTGTCGAGTTCACTCTCGTTTCCGGCCTCTGTGGGGAAAATATGGCGATGAGTTCGGCATCGTTCCGCATTGGAGCTATCAGTTCTTTGCATAGTTCTTCGCTGTGTTCTGACAACACGTTGCACGTAGGCAATAGGAGCCTCTTGATCAATGTTAGGGACTGCCGCTCTATGCTCCTGTGGGCTGGCAGCGTAAGAAGGAAGGGGTGAAACTTGAAGAACGCGGAGTTGGCGGTCCTTGCTGTGGCCACCGGCCAGGTCGACGTTAAGCCGGATAGTACAGAGCCCACTCATGGCACCAGCTGCCTGCACATTATCATGTTCTTGGTTGGCAAAAGACACGTTTGAATCCTTGGTATCAGTCTCAGAACCGCATAGACAAGGTTGGAATTGATTGGAATTGTCAATGAAAGTCCATGGAGATATGCTTCCATTCCTCATATGGGAGATATATTCTCCTTCTGTACCATTGTTGGGAGTCTCTCGACTATGTGGCCTGGTTTGATTTATGCTGTTGGTTGTGTCTATATGGTCAGAAGCACTGAATCCATCGCGTCGACGCCAGTCGGGGTTTTTCATTGCTTCAGCAAATTTTGAGCTACCGAGGTTATCTTCGGAGTATTCTCTCCGCGAAAGAGACGGTGCCGAAGACAGTTCCTCAAAAGAATCATCAGCGGTTGTGTCGGTTGTAATCATGGATTGGGCCTTTCGGCTTCGAATCCTCTTTTCGAAGGCCATGCCGAAATGTGAGTCTTGAACGTCTCAATGCGTTGATCGGGGATTGCCAGATGCACCACGAATCCAAATCAAATTGGATCATAGGAAGATAGTCTTCCAGTGCCTGCCAGTGTTACAGATGCCGAATGCTTCTATATAAACACAGAACAAGTGCTTGGTGCCGTATGCCAGTGATTCTTCTGAGTATTTTCTTGACGGTCAACAGTGCATACGTCTCGAGTTTGAAGTTTTTAGCCTGTTGATTCTATTTGTCGTCAGGCATTTCTTTCAATTCATCAGAAAACCAAGGTGAGTCTCTAACCCAAAGTCGTACCCCCGACGGAGGAAATGTTGAGCGGTGCCTAAATCGGGTGTCAGTGTCGATTCTTGTATCAGACAACCAATATCCCGAGTCATCAAAGTGAGCCGGCCGGCAACTTTTAGGGCAATATACCTATATGGAGATACCAGTAATCCAATCGAAACTCGTATATGGGAAACTGCGTGGTCAGGCGCTTCGCAGCAAAGGTGCTAAGCTTGCCTCACAGATGGGGGTGCCAAAAAGGGGAACTTGATAAGCTTCGGGGACGATCGCTGACAAGTAAATTCGCTTTTTCTCAGGCGTCTTTGCCAGACACAGTTTGTTTTAATGCTGCGTATAGCGGGATAGATTGTCCAAAAAGGGGCGTTTGGCTGTCTTGCAAATGAAGGCCAAGCTACCTATGGTGGTGAAGATGGAAAACAGCAAATACGTGAGGGCGAGCGTGAAAATGACTGCTTTGATAGTAATGCTGAGAATATGGAAGGCGCGATTAGATGAATTACAGAACGGAGAAAGAACTAAACTGCAGTGCCTTTGTCAGTTCTTGCCCCCCTAGAAGGGCTCTTTCCCTGAGACTCAAAACTCGACTGGGTGACAGAACTGATTCAAGAAGGAGGGGACAGCGAGCTCCGACACGTTCAGAAAGGTACAAAGACTTCGTACCATAGTAGAAATCAGGAATTTATGGGAAAATCTGATAGCACGTGTTTGTGAGCGGAAGTAGGCAAGGTGCTTAGATAGCTACTTTGGTATTGAGATAGGTAAATTAGAGGTATCCAGAGACGGCCGGCAACCAAAAAGAAAGCCCGAGATATTTCAAGAAGAATAAACACTAAGGTACATAGCAAAGGTAGGCACTCGCTTTCACATGCTCTTCATGGTTCCACGAAACAATTATCCCTGATACTGCTGCCCACCCATGAAAGCAGCAAACGCCCTCTATAACATTGTTAGTGACAGAAAGGACCACAGACAGAAAAGATCACTCACCGAGTTCCGGGTTTGCATGTAGACCGTTCCCGGACCAGTAAATTTACAAACCAAACCCTCTGCTGAAGCAATGCCTGAGATGATACCTCCAGAGGCAACACGCTCCATTACATACTTGCAGTTCCAGGCAATCAGATGTCCGTTATCCACAATGTACTTCTCCCCCTCGACAAGCTAGTCCATAGGTTAGCCTCTGATAACAAGAGAAAATACGTTCAAGAGACCTACTGTTTTGTGAATGATGGCACCGAAACTCGAAACCCACAACAACCCTACACCACTGATCTTATAGACCCAAAGACCCTCACCACTGAACATAGCCTTGCTCAATCCTTGTCTCTTGAAGTCTTTAATAACACCCTGGGTGCAAGCTAGGAATGCATCGTGGCCTACGGACCAGGCTTCCTTGCCTGTAAGACGAAGAGTAGTAATATCACCAAGGCTGTGGGGCGCAAGAAGAACCTCTCCAGGGCCAATATATGTCGAACTTGACATGTCACCTCCGGTGATCATCTTCTTCATGCTGAACTTGATTTGACCCTTCAAAGTAACCGAGGGAGACATGGCGATCATCGCACCAGGCTTGCCAGTCATGGGGCAGCCCATTGCGAGCTGGATGGTGAGAATCGTGTTGGTATCGCGGTGGCTAATACGGTAGCTGCCACCATTGAATGTTCCAACGTCATCAGACGTGGCCCCTGCCCCAACAAAATGACCAGCCTCGGGTGCCCCAGACACAGTCATTGCAACCGCTGTTCCAGGCTGTTGTTCAAGCTCCTGCTTGGGCTTCTCAATGGGATATTGGTTATCATCCAAAGGGGATACTGGCGGTGGCGGTTCAAAGTTCTGTTGAGTAGACTGAGGAGTCGCTACTGGAGGAGTTGGCCCAGGCCTCATGGCCAAATTGCTCTGCTGGCCCGGCGCATGATACTGATTTTGCGAGGGTGGAGGTGTCGCCTGAGGCAGGTTGTGCTGAAAGTGCTGTTGATACGCTGGTGCCGAAGTTGGAGGAGGAGGATAGTAGCCCTGAGAGGAACTATGAGAGTGATGCTTGGCTTGTGGAGAGGGAGTTTGCTGCTGAGCCTGGGGAGGAGCCGGATAGTGAATCGGTGTCGGCTGGTGAGGAACTTGGGGAGATGGCGTATGTTGAGGAGGAGGAGGGTAGTTCACAGCCTGTCCGGGTTGAGATTGAGGCTGAGGTGGAGGAGGATAGAATTGTGTGCGATTAGCCGGAGGAGAGGTCGGTGGCAGCGCATATTGATGTTGCTGTTGCTGCGGTTGAGGAGCTATTCAGAGATCGTATGGTCAGCTTTGCCAAAAGGTCTTTGTGGAGAGCTTTGCGAACCTGGTGAGCTCTGTGTCGCGCCGGGCGGAGCTATTGAGGTGTCATGATCAGTTTCGTTGTCATGATACAAAACTCGATGGGGACCTACGAGGATAGTAATGCTGCTGGCTAGCCATAACTAATAGGGGCAATACCGCAATGAGAGAAAGAATACAAGAGCTTCTGGGCCGGAGGATAAAATGAAGAGGGAAAGAAAATGTTCAGACCCTGAGAGAGCCTGGCCTCTTACGACAGCTCGACTCTGCTTCCTTTAGCCGCCCGTAACATGTGCCAAGCTAGGGTAGCCCCGCATTGATATCAGGTTCCATCTACCACGATACTTGAGTCTTGGAGTTTGATGATGGAGATACCTGCACTGAAAGAGCTACAACACTCTGGAGAACATCCTGCCGTCTACATATTTCTTGCCAAATCCCTTTCAATATTGTTTCGGCATTTGCTTGCCTCACCATCGAAACGAAACGGCCGCGTCCCAAAAGACCAAGTTCCCGCTACTCATACAACAAATGCAACACAAGCTGCAGTATACAGGCTGTTTCATTCAAGGCCATGCCCAATCACTGAGTGCCATCAAGTCATCGATCGGCCCCTGGTTCAATGAGCTCTGTGGCCAGTTCAACGTAAGCGCCTACGCGGGGCAATAGTCAGCGCGTAGCTAGCATCTCCAAGACCCTATTGGTTTGAGAGAAAATTAGCCCACGACTTTCTCCTCCATTCGGAAGCTCTGGGTCCAGCTGTGACTCTATTGAATCCATGGAAAAGAGCCTAACCTCAGACTTATAGATTCGCCATTAGGTAGGTATTCCATCTCATCACGTGGTGGATCAATGAATTTCCTATTCTTGGCGTATAGCAGTAGTGAACGACGTTTTACACGTGATGTGACATGATACGGCTTTGACAAGAGAACGTGAGACCCAACGTTAGCTTTCAAAAATGGAAATCCTGGACCAGCTTTAGATGATCACGTCCTAATACACTTCAACCGTTTGTTTTTGGTATCTTAATCAGATGCATCAAGTCTCTTTGCATACCGACCGCGAAGACCTTACCCCAAGTTCCATTTGTTTACAGCATGCCAAGACTCGTTACCCATGGTGCCCTCATTCCATCGACATGGCCATTTCCTGGTAGTTTCTGGGTATGTGTTTATTCCCATTGCCAAGGATATGGCGGTTTCAGCTCTTGTGCATCACGAAGTTTAATGATAACAAGTATTTCCAGAGGTCAAACCCGCTGTTCACGCATACAAACTTGTTTGGCTTAGCGCCACAATTCATCCAACATTCGTAGCTAGGCGTCTGCGTGATGAATATTTTGTCTTGCTCCTAGGGTCCGAGAGGCAGTCTGCAAAGGATCTAATTTGAAGAATGGCATCTCCAAAGGAACGAGATGTCAGCCATGACGCTCAACAAGTTTAGGCATGCAGCACAACAAGCCACTTGTGAGAGCCTTCAGCTTGGTAAGCGATCATGTTAAGGGTGCCAACTGATGAAATCATCTTGAACCTAAAAGTTGATGCTCAGGGTATTGACCGGCCATACCAGATCTGACAGAGTGTCGTGGAAAACAGGACGCACGATCTAAGATCGACATCGTGGAACATGCTGAAGGTTGATTCACCCAATGACACTGAGATGGCACATGCTAGTGACGTTGATATGGCTCCATGACCCGGGAATACCACGCCCCGGTAGTGGCGTCTATATCTGATATGTAATTCGTCTTGTGCTTCTCATGAACAGCTATCTTTTGGCTGGCCTATGGCAGGCTGCTCTGCGAAGATGGCTCTTTGTCAGTCTGCCCTTCTACAATGGCCAAACCACCTCTGTGTGTCCCATGATGGCACTCCAGACGCCACAATGCAGTGATTCCTACAAATTGGATGGACGCTCCGTTCCGTTCCGCTTTGCCTTGCAGGACATGCTCTCCTGCGGTAGCTGAAGAAGCACCATGGGCCTTTGTGGTTGCCACAACAGCCTGGGGCGATTCGCAGTGGCCTATGTATTTTGATTATTTCTAGAGTGTAGCAAGAATTATCCAGACGTTTGAACAACATGGCCCTTGCGTCAAACAAACCAACACCACCGTTGATTCCTTACGCCGTTCAACCTCGTGGCCGTTGGCCTCGACATGGCAGGGCGAGGCTGGGCCAATACCGCCGTAGGTAAACTTACGAGATACCCGAAAGAGAACCAAGGCGTCGTAGATGTATTTTAGAGTTTGACTATTGAAAGCGCTGTTGGAACCGATGCATGTCGGAGAGACTTTGTCCCTAACTGACAGGTTTGATAACCGAAGCCTAGACGCCACTTGTGCACAAGGATGGTATTTGTGGTTGGTGGTGTTTCAATAGTAGCCTAG